TGATTAGATGAGGAGATATAGCTATTTTCTCAATGGTATACGTGTTGTCATATTCGAGCCTACGGTACTCTCAGCTTTGCTCAGCAAGATATGAATTTCTTTGCATTATTCGATCCAGCGGAATCAGGCATTCAGAAAAATATATATTTCGCCGAGTGATTTTGCTTTCATGAGGAGATATAGCTGTTTTCCTAAAGTTATCTCAATTAGCGCTGAGGCGCTCATTCACATTCACTTGATCACTATAGATCAACTGTGGACATTAATATGGTGTTATAGGCGTTACTATCTTCAAGGTACCGGTACTCTCAGGTTTACCTGATAACACATGAATTTCTTTGCACCGTTCGATTGCTCAGAATCTCATGTTCAAGAATAATGTATATTTTACGGAGGAATTGTGATTAGATGAGGAAATATGGCTATTTTCTCAATGCTATTTTTCTGATGCTTCAAGGTACCGGTACTCTCAGGTTTACCTGATAACACATGAATTTTGCCATCTTCAGAGTATGCTAGGCTTCAAGATGGCAACCCGTATAGCACCTCAAAACCCTCGATAGTTTGAATTTATTTCCATCCATCGGATGAATTTTTACTTATTCATTAATCATCGCTTTGATGAAAGGATTGCTTTTCCGTTCATCTCGAAGATAGTTCCTCAAACGTTTATTGCATCTTCCTTGTTCATGGATAATTGAACTTGTTATTAGATTCCATTTTTATCGATGAAGAATGTTTTTTTTTTCATTGTTTTTCGTTTTTGATTGCCGAGTTTCATATTGTTTCTGCAGTGGAAAAAATTTCATTCTAAAAATACTTGTTTTGTTCCAGAAAATTAATTTCTTTCTCGATACTGACGAATTTCTGGATCGGTTTTCCTTCTGTTCGGACATTATACGTATAAATTGTTTTTCTATCAGAAGGGGGATGGGAGTTAACGGCGGCGTGCCATGTTATCAAAATGGGCAATGGAACACTTGAGCGAGAGAACCGCTGCCATAACAGAACATCAACGAATATCTTCGATAAAGTATGACATTCGCTCATTATTTACTTTTTTATGTCCTCTTTTTTAGTGACAACTCGAATTTCCAATTAACGGAAATACGTTCCGTCAAACGAAAACGTAAAGTCCTAATTCGCTGAATGAAATGCAAACCGTTGCATGTCTGTCAGTCCATTACTCTCATGATGGGTACAATTCTTTTTTTGTTCCGACAAAAAAAAATTGTACCCAATTTGAGAGTAATGAACTGACATTGAATGACTGAATCTATGAATTCCGGAACAAAAATAAACTAAGGATACAATTAGTTTGAAAATGCGTTTCTCGACGTTCTCACAACAATGATCAACACAAAGATCAAATGCAAGCACTTTAGTGATGCAAGATTGAACTCTCGTCATACTCCTTTCGAAATTCAGACATACCTCTAAAACCAGTTATTTCCTGTCGGCAAAATGTATGTTTTTCTACTGCTGAATCAGTTCTAGAAGATCTTTCCAAGAAACCATTATGTTTAGGACGGAATTTGATATTGTGTTTTGAAAGGTTGTGTGCTATGGAATAAATTGCGATATTCATTCGACAGAACATATGTATACAGAGTGGAACATGCAATATTCATAACATAATGAAACATCGGAGCGATGAAGTCTTGTAGAAGGAAATTGATAATGAATCGTTGTTACAATCGAAAACAGTTCATCGTACTTCGATTACAGGTACACAGAGACCATGAAATTACAGATCAATGAGATTCCTGTACTAAAATCATATTATATGAAACGATTTAAAAAGATTGATAAATATGCATCCAGTTGAACAGCAATAACTGGAACAGGCAAATAATTAAATCTGGTTGAGAATCAATTAAAGAGTTAACAAATCAAACAACGCTTTCATCCAATACGAATAAAGTAATGCTGATAACATCTGAAACAAGTATCAAAAACATTGAATGGAGCTAAATCAAATGCACGAAGCGGAATGAAGAGAATAAAGCAATATCATAAGTTGCATCGAGCAGAAGTAACTTAATAGATCAATTATTGTTCAACATTCAAACACTTAATACATGCTTTGGTCCAACTGTACGCTGAAGAACTGCAACGTCAAGAAGATGGAGAAATAATGCCATTGTCAAATCAGATCAGATGCCAATTGTAATTCAGATGAGATGCCAATTAAAACAGAATCCCAGCCGCTATAAACTTTACTTGAGCGTAACAGTTGCAAGAAAATGGAGGAAATTAGACCTGCCTGTGCAAGTCTAAATGGAATTGAAGTAGACAAGTAACTTAAATAGCGCATAACTAATCAAGACCACTACTAAGGAATAAGGATAACAAACGGATTGCCTCGTCGTACAGTTGCTGAGTGATGTTGAAGATAACCAACAGACACAACCCACAAGGCGTCATGCTCCACCGAAATGAAAAATCAAATACAGTTCTAACACTGTGAATGAAACGGCAAACGAAGACAACATGAAAAATAAATGGGAAACAGCACGTTGTACAATGCGGAAACATTGGAAATGTGTTATATTTTCTAATCGAGGTAATTTACGAATGGCAATAATAATGAGAATGATCAAATTTAACAACAATTGGAATATTAATATATATGAATGATTGGAATATTAATATATATGAATGAAAAGAGGGATAAGTTTAATGATGACAATATCAATAAAAGTGTCGTAAACATAATAAACTTAATACGCATATTTGTTAATTAAGCACTGAAATGATATTGCATCGATTAAAACAAGAATGATGATATTGATGGGGATGACAATGAACCAATCAGACGCTACCACCTGCGATAACTTTTTCGATATCTTCAACAATATCCTTCGGTTGTGTTTTCGGTAAATAACGTTTCACCTCAAATTATTTTTGTGTTATTATCACTTCAATAACAGTAATAATATTAATAACGACAACAATAATAATAACAATGACTATATATTCTTCAAAAATGAGCACTGATTTTACTGTAGGCATTTAGCTATGATGAAAAAATTTTCTTTAAGTTTGAGACATCGTAGACGTCAACGTATAAGCGCATTGAATGTGAACATTTTCAAGTCATGGCTATGCAATATTTCTTTTAAAAGAACGAATGATAATTAAGACAACTTAAGAAATAACAAGAAATGAGAGTAAAAAATGAAAACAATGAAATAATACTCGAAAAAATAACATTTCAAAAAATAACAACGCGAATAGAATTCAAGTAAAACCAACCACGAAACCATTTTTATCGACCAAAAATTTAGCGAAGTTCCACTTGATCGGTTCATTGTCGCCTTGTTGTGCTTTTAGGAACTTATAAAACGGATGTGCCTTAGCGCCATTAACCGATATTTTCTCGTATATATCTGCTGCACTCATCCCATATTTATCCAGTATTCTCTTTTTGACCTCAGCTGACGCACCTGGCTCCTTCAATTTTCGTATTTAATCCCCAAGACTCAGCCATTTTTTTGAATCAGTCCATTCTGCCTCCCTCATCCGTTTCCGGAAAAAATTCTAGCTACGCCACCATGTTGCTCAGATGGTGCCTTCTTTGAGTTTACTTTATTATTATGACTTGATAAACCTTGATAGCAATCTAACTATTGAAGTTACTGGTCATCAGTGGTATTGAAGTTATGAGTTTAGGGATATTCCTGATTTGAATTTGATTCTTATAAGAAATATATTCACATTCACATTACACAAACATGAATAACAATAAAAATAAAAATAATAATAACAGTAATAACAATAGTAACAAATAGCTGACACACCTGTGAACCGAATTGGTTACAGGGGAACAAAGCAATCCGTAAACCTTGAGAATGGTACTTTTCAAGGATCTCTTTCATTTGAGTGTAATTCTTGAGAGTATGACCACAACGCGATGCCACATTCACGATCAACACTGGATAACCTCTTAAATTTATTTCTTATTCATATATTCTACGATATATTGCGATTCTATACTATGGCATTAATCATTATTATAGTGAGAATGATATTAAAAATTATCATGAAAATACTCAAATTATTAATGATGTTAAGAAGAACAACAATAGTGATCACCACAAAACTAAAACCAACTTGTATTTGACAAACGAAACGTCGTTATCTTCGGCATCCTTAACGGTAAATTCATAGATAGTCGACGGTGTGACACTGTCTTTGGTGTCATCAGTAGATTCATTGCTGCTATTATCAACATTGTTCTGTTCATTCTTGTCATCGATATTCTTTTCAGTATCACTATCGATCACCATCTCGTTTTGCTTATCTTCTGCGTTGTCGGTGTTGCTCTCAGTAGCTCGTTTAGGAGCACCCCTTTGACGCTTAGCAGGTTGCTTTTTTGTTGTTGGTACCTTCGCTTCCACTTCCTTCTCCTCTACCACGGCCGTTTTCACGGAACCGTTTGTTGCTTTGGTTTCTTTCGCTGCTTCTTTAGCTGCAGTCTTTTTTTGGGGTTGAGTTTTTGTCATGGGCATCTTTTCCTCCTGCACCCTTTTGCGAACAACTCTTCCTGATCTTGTTCTTTGTTCCACATTCTCATCTCGCGTTCCTTCCTCAATCGCAACCTCACCGGCTGCTGCCGTCTTGGCCGCAGATGATTTCTTTGCACGAGCAGGCATTGATGATCTCCAATTGAATCACAAATCTGAATATTTCGATCGTTTTAATTGACATTATCCATTTGTCGCAATAATTACGATATGACGGCAAACACAGGAAAATTGTCGCGTTTAACAGAGATTAAACCGTCCGTTGATTCTATCGGGTCACCGGACGGTCTACTTTTGTCGAACCTATGGACGGGTCGGTAAAACCCTTTACCTTACTCGTTCGTTGGCTGCCCTTTAACTCAACTTCCCTACTTGTTCACTGACCCGTTCGCCCTCAGATTCACATCTTCCGGTTACACGTCTTCTGACCCGTTCATCACCCGTTAACCTATTGTTCCGCTCGCCCACTAATTAGAACACTTTACCAGTACAATTACCCAATCATTTACTTATCCACGTTTACTCGTTAATCATTCTTCTCAAACCCTCGCTATCCACTGATTGGACGCCCGTTAACACGTTTCATCCGTTCATTCATTACCCATTTACACGATTATGAATGCAAATACGAGCGATACTCGAAGGTCCACTATCAACAACGCAACAATAACAAAAACAATAAACGATCACACAACTATGAATCAACAAAATCAACTAAAAGAATCTCTAAACACAAATAAACAACACTGAAAACAGTCAGTAAGAATGCTACAAACTCTCGAAAATTCTACTTGAAAGAAACCACAAAAGGAAAAATAGTAATTGCTCGATCGAGTTTGCTAGTAAATGCTAAATCAAAAACGACATTCCAAGTAAACAATAATCACCAAACTAACAATAAAGTTATTGAAATGTTAGAGTAATTGCGCATATACTCGGTCAACAATGATGTGCATTGTGCATATGGATGAATTACTGAGCGATTCGTTATGAACGCCAACGATTAATACTCAGCCGATAGACCATGCAAGCGTTTCATTTGCCCACAGAAGTGCGTTAATACAACGCATAACTGTAGATTGCCCGTTATTTATTACCTCAACTGTTCCATTTGCCCTGACCCTTATCAACTATTCTTCCCTTTACCAACATAACTATTGCTTTGGCGGGTAAGCTACAACTGTTTTGGCACGAAACATTGCTAATCCATTGCTGTTATGAAACATTGTAAACCAATTTTCTACCATGCACACCTTCGCTATATTCTGTCCGAAGGCCTGCCTCATTGACGAGTCGGCGAGTGGGCTGTGCTGCTGATAGGCAGGGGATAGTAGGTCTTGAAGAGTGCCGAACTAACTACGATAGCAACAATATTAATCAAATATCAGTCGAATATCATTAGTATGAATGTGGAACAGGACACTGAATGCAGCTGACATTTATGTTCAAGCTTTATTAGATGAATAAACAAACAATAAAACGATTAAACCAAAAGACCATCAGAAGTAACCAATAGATAAAAAGGTTTCAATTGAGTGTACATAAAAACGCATGCAATAAATTAACAGATCCATTTCAACTTGAATTCTTTTCATATGTTCACTTCACANNNCACATCGACGATATTCAGTATCAGTTTCAATCTAACAAAATCGATTCGCATGAAGTTATCAACCAACAAAACATACACCAATACACAAAAATCGCTCGTAACAAACACATCATGCATATATGTTGTACATAACTTATGGACATAATATATCTTTACACATACGCCCTATCCTTATCACTATCATTATCATCTCCCCACTTTCAAGAGATCACGCCTTTCAGCTTAACTTCTCAATTGCTCACCAATAACGCGATGTATCATACGGGTTTCTAGGTCAGCCTCTTCCAAACTGACTGCTCAACATATTACTTGGCAATAATATGTAAACAAACAATAAATGATAACCGTTACTAATATCGATAAAAAATGCACAAACCATCCCACTCATTATTGATAATCATTCCATTCTGTTTACATCATTCTGTTATTATCTCGAAAATTCCTTTCAAACCAGTCTTCCCCAATACAAGCAATACCGTTCATCAACAATATGATATTTAGAGAGGACAATCTTCATGAAACAGAATGAAATTTTTACATTTGTCACAATGCTTGGTCCTGAAAACGGCTATCGGAAACTGCTGCAGTTGGAAACAAAACAGTAACAATTTAACGGCGATTTTTAACCCAAACGAACGACTGATCGAAAAACACTGACAACCACAGAGCTGAATAAATATAGTCAATCAAAATTCCAGTGTTCGCTTTTCAATTTATCCTTCTACACCCCCCCCCCCCTTTCAAGTATCCTTAAGCTTCACGCATTTACATCCAGTGGCATCTCAACATGTCAATATACAAAATTTTGCCACTGTAACCTAATTACTGTACTCCATTAGGCCATCGTAATCTATCCACCCAACGTACATCAATTTGCTACTGCAACCCACTACCATACACCNATTTTTACATTTGTCACAATGCTTGGTCCTGAAAACGGACATCAGAAACTGCTGCAGTTGGAAACAAAAAAGTGGCAATTTGACGACGATTTTTAACCCAAACGAACGACTGATCGAAAAACACTGACAACCACAGAGCTGAATAAATATAGTCAATCAAAATTCCAGTGTTCGCTTTTCAATCTATCCTTCTACACCCCCCCCCC